TTAATAAACGCTAAAAAATACACCACCTAAGATTTACTAATCACGAAAATAACAAAAAAAAAGTTTTTTAACATAACATATTTTACTCATTATGACAGCCGTTTGCCAGGTTATGTATGTCACCAGACGTTTCGCGGTTTTGCCGAAAGGAGGAGATTGGCGCTGTTGCTAACCACCTGAAATACATAATCTACCAAAGGGCTGTCACAATCAGTAAAGCAGTATCAATATGTTAAATATTTAATAAAAATTTTTTTTGTTATTTTCGTGATTGGTAAATCTTAGGTGGTGTATTTTTTAGTGTTTATTAATTTTCCAAATGGAAATTGCATTTTTGATTGTAATTTCTGAGAAAGTACTGTTACAGTTTTTGTGAAAAAGTGCTCATATTTAATTTATTGACATGAAATTTTTTTTATTATTTTAACTCAAAAAAAGTTTTAGCTGGTGTATATCTTGCCAATAATCAATTATCCATAAAGGAAAAAGCATTTTACCTTCTTGTTTTCAAGAAAAGGCTGTTGAAAATTTTCCAAAATTTTAGTTTCAATGTAGATGGCGCTGCCTCACTTGGACCTGGCCTTAATAGAGATAGTCAATTCAAATTTGAATTTTCTCTCTCTCACTCTCTCTCTCTTACTCCTGCACGTTGTCATGACAACTCCTGCAGGCAGGTAGGCCAAAAATTCGGATTCAGCGACCCCAATAAACCCCGAGTAACCATTTTTAACCAGAATCGCCCATATGTGTACTGTTAATCGAGAAATTTGCCAAAATTGAAAGATTGTCGTTAAATATTTTCATGACGAGTTAAAAATGGCTTTTAGAGTGCAATTATATTTTCAGTTATAGCTCACTAAAACTTACATTAAAATCGTGACACATTACAAGAAGAGCCACACTCATTGAGTTCCGTGTGATCGTGTAACTGACCCTAATTAAATCATTAAACTTCGTTAACCTTTGAAAAAAAAGTGCAGGCTATATATATATATATGTATCATCAAAGGGTGAAATATCCCAACAGGTCTTATATATATATATATAATTAATGTATTCCACGCCAAATTCGAAACTTTTGTCCAGAAATTTTTTTTTTTGTAATTTTGCATATTTTACCCAATAAACGTAAAAAACCATAAATTTTAGGACTTTTTTGTATGATTTTCACTGTAAAAATAAAATTTTCAAGTATTGTCACTATGATTTTCGTTATCAGCACATTAAAATACATAAAAGTACGTACTATAAAAAAAACCAAAAATATTTTTAAAAAATTCAAAATTTTTTTTTAAATTTTGAAAATATTGTAAAAATTGTTTGCCCACGAATGGACTAGGCTTAAAATTTTCGTAAAAGGAAGCAGTTTTTTTGAAAAAATTTTGAAAAAAATCGATCAGTACGTCAATTAAAAAAAATGACTTTTTATCTTTAAAACTTAAAAATTTGATAATAATATCATTTGAAAAAAATTTTTCAATTTTTTTTTTTAAAGTACGTTTAAGAACACAAATTTTGAAAAAAAACTTTTAAAATTGATGCATTTTTATAAGGAAGTTATATGAGCATTCGAAAATTAGAAGTTATTAAAATTCTGAAATTTTGAAAAATTCATATCTCGAAAACGGCTTGCTAAAAAAATTTGAAAAATATCATGAAAGGTAATCTCAATTAGTACTAAAAGAAAGAAAAAGTTTAAAAAAAAAAAAATTGGAGATGTAATTGCAGATGGACTTCGAATTTGGCGTGGAATACATCATATATATATACCTATATAAAATAGAAAACAATTTGTTGAAGGTTTTCATTGTTTTCATTAACAAAATCGATGTTGTTGAGCATTATTTTCTTCTATACCAATTCAATTATATTTGAAATGCAACGACAGATAAATATTGACGAAGTGCTTTCAAGTGAAATGATCGACTCCCCCCCCCCTCATCTCTCAGCTCTAGTTGTCATAATTGAATGTCATAAAAAATTTCTTTCTTTTATTTATTTATGATCTTACCTTTCAAATCTACATATAAGCATAATTAACAAATTCTAATTTTTTATTTAAACTCTTTAAAAGCTTTTTTTAATTTTTTTTAAAAATGTTTTATCGAACAAAAGAAGTATTTGCAGTTTTTTTTAAATTGTTCTATATTGACTCTATTTTTGTCATGGTAATAAATTTTAAATTTTCCACTCAATATACAAAATTGTAAAATTACATTTTTTTTTTTTGAAAAAATCTGGAAATGACGATAATAATTTGTTTTATCTTTAGCAATGATATTTCTTTAACCGTAAACTTAAATTTCGACGTAAAATCATTAGCGAACAAATCTCTGACACGAACAGTGACTGAGCTTGAGACAATGATAAATGAAAAGTTGGATGTTAAATTACGTGCAATGTGATTGATGTATAAAAGTCAAAAAGTCATGAAAATTTTCAAAATATTTCCACTATATATAACTGACTTGTATATAAGAAAATTTTTGAAAAAACTATTTCAAGGTATACTTATTTGCATCATTGCTACACGGAGAAAAAGAAAAAGTAATTTTTACTACTTTCAGAGTAAAACTGGACCAACTCGAAGTTTCTGCGCATCTCTGGCAATTTTTACTCAAAAAATAGTAAAATTTATTATTTCTGTAGTAAATTTTACTGTTTCCGTAGTAAGTTTTACTATTTCTAGAGTAAATTTTACTATTTTTGGAGTAAAAATTGCCAGAGATGCGCAGAAACTTCAAGTTGGTCCAGTTTTACTCTGAAAGTAGTAAAAGTTACTTTATAAAAGAAATCTTTTTTCTCCGTGTACTGCAAAATCAATATTTAACAACCTCTAGTTTAAATTAATATATATTTTATCATTAAAAACTAAAATAAAATATTTTTTAATAAAATAATAATAATAATATATTCTTAATATTAAGTCAAAATTTAAAGGTTTTGAAGAATATTATAAAACTTAACCTCAAAACTGGTTCATAAATATTGTATATATTTATAGAATTAAACTATATATGTTTGTTGTTTTGAATTTTGGAGAAATAAATTCACGATTTGTAATTAGTATGACTACAAAAGCAATCGAGTAACATGTATTAAGTGAATTCGATAATATTTTTAAAAAAAATTGGACGCCATATTGGTGTCGACATTTTGAATTTTGAAAATGAGATCATAAACCCCTGAATAACAAATTTTAAACAAATTTAATCAATTTAAGGCGGTTCAACCCCTTGACATAACCTCAAACTGAAAATCGGTTTTATCACCAAATAAAACAATAATATACTCAATTAAAATTATTTTTATTAAATTTTAAAAAATGTAGTTATTCAATTTGTAATAAAAATATATTTTCACCTAAAATTTCTTGTGAAATAATTATTATTTAATATTTCGTGTTTTTTCTTCTTTAAAAAGTATAAAAAGTAAAAATTTTATTTGTTTAATAATTTTTAAATAAAATATTATTTTAAAAAATTCAACAAAGTTGTAGTGAATCTTTCAAAATGGGAAATGATCTATTGTTTATGAAAGTTAAATAAAAATTATAATTGTTTACAAACTTTAAACGAAAACTATAAAAAGTTAAAGAATTATTACTTTATTTTATTATTATTATTATTATTTTTTACTTAACAATAAATTTTTACTTAAAATATATTTTTTTTAATTTGTACAACTGTATTTTTAAAAAATTAAGTGAAAATAATTTTAATGGTAACTTATATTCCCTGTATTCTTTATTTTTTATACTCAATGTATTATGTATTAGGACGCATAATTATCCCATAAAAATCATTAACTAGAATTTTCATTTTATAGAATTTTATTAGAAATAATTTTTTTTAGACGAATTTTCATTTTTCAAATTAGCATTTAATAGAATTTCTTTTTATACGAATTTCTACTTAATAAAATTTGTAGCTAATAAATTTTTGTTTGCTAGAATTTTTATTTCCTAATCATTTAATTTACGTTTTTATTTAAGTGAATTTTAATTGAATCGAATTTTAATTTAACAAAAATCACATTCAACTGAATTTTATGGGATTCGAATTTTTAAATGACAGAAATTCCAATTCATCGAATTTTTATTTGTGCGAATTTTTAAGACGCCGAATTTTCATTTGTCAGGAATTATGAATGACTAAATAGAAACAATCGACTGGCGCAATTTTCAAAACTGACCAATTAGAAATTATCAAGAAAATCGTGATTGGACAATTTTTGAAAATAATGCCGAAATTTTTCTGTCAATTGTTCGGCCATTTGTAAGTTTGAACAAATAAAAATTCGACGCCATCAAAATTCTATCAATTAAAATTTGAAAAAAATAAAAATTCGTCGAATTAAAATTTTTGTCATTTAAAAATTCAAATCACATAAAATTCGATTGAATGTGAATTCTGTTAAATTAAAATTCGTAAACAAATTAAAATTCTCTTAAATAAAAAGTCATGTAAATTAAATGACTATAAAATGAAAATTCTGCCAAACAAAAATTTGTTAGCTAAAAATTCGTATAAAAAGAAATTCTGTTAAATGCTAATTTGAAAAATGAAAATACTTCTAAAAAATAATTATTTCTAATAAAATTCTTTAAAAAGGAAATTCTAATTAATAATTTTTATGGGATAATCATATATATTTTTATATTTTGAAATTGGAATAATTATTTCATTGAGAAAACTCTAAATTTATACAAAGTCCCATAAGCTCATTTTACAACGATTTATTTGTGATATTAAATTTAATTAAATGATTCTGTTATAATAAATCTGTTTTCACTCGGGGTTTGTGATGATGCTGAAGAAAATCTGAAGAAGAAGAAGAAGAAGAAGAATACGAGTCTCAAATCTATATAGATAGAATTTGAAAGAAACGTGCGCGATGAGAAAAACACACTTGGTTTGAGGTGTATATCAAAATGAAAACGCATGCGCGAAATTCAATCGGAGAAACGTCGCCTGGTCGCGTGGCGCGAGCGTTAGAAATTGTGACTTGGTGCTTTTCAGTCTCTCCGGTCCCTTCGTCCGTCCTTGTCCTTTTCTCGAGTTATATCTATCTACATAATATTATCGTTTAAAAAAAAAAAAATTTATACTTATAACCAAAAAAAAAAAAAAAAAGTTCTCCGGAGATTCACATAAACACAGGACACACAATATTAAAATAACATGGACGAAGCTGAGAGAAATAATTAAAATTTTCAATAGAATTTTTTTTTTTTAAATTCAAAAAATCGATGACACAAAAGCAATCTTGTGATCTTTCACCAAGAACTCATAATATTGAGGAAATCTTTGGAGAAGATACTGAAAAATTGATCAATTTTAAAGATTATAAAATAATAATTATCATCATCATTATCATTATTATTAGCAGGGACCAATATTTATTAAATTTGAAGAATATCAATAAAACATGTCAACGGAAATTGTTACGATGACCGAAATGAAAAATCATCATCCAAGAAAAATTGCCGATCAACAAAAGGATTCAAGTACAGCGCAAAGAAGATGGCGCCTTCTTGCAAGAGCGTTGAGTCGTTCTCCAGAATTATTTCCCGAAATTGATGATGTCGATGATATTTCAGTGAGAAGATTTACAAGTTTTAATTTATTGAGACCATTGATATTGGAAAATGTTGCCGATACTGAATCATCATGGTATGAATATTCAACAATAATTGACAATGATTTATTTGATGTGCAAATAAGAAAAATTAATAAAAATTTCACGGCAAATGAATTAATTGGTTTCAATAATACGGGAAATGTTTGTGTATGGCCATCGGAGGAATGTTTGGCATATTATTTATTGAAAAATAGAATAATCTGTAGGAATAAAGTTGTATTGGAATTAGGTGGTGGAATGAGTTGTTTGGCTGGTGTTCTTGTGGCCAAGTACTGTAATCCTAGTGGTGTCACTCTCACAGACGGAAACGTGACTAGCGTTGATAATGTCAGGTGCATCGTTGCCAGAAACAGCATGGCAGATTTCGTAAGGTGCGGCGTTGTGCAATGGGCCAGGGCTGCCAATGCACTTAGACAAACCGGAAACAATGGAAATCGAATTAAGGTATACAATAATATATTATTATTATTGTTATTATAATCGAAAAACAAATGAGACGCATTAAAATTTATTTGTTACAATTTTTATTTCACAAAATTTCATTAGGTAAAATTTTCAATTAAACTAATTTTTATTTTTTCGCATTATTTTTTAACCGATTTTCTATGGGATGCACGATTATCCCATAAAAATTATTACATAGTTGGAATTTTCAATTTTGAATAATTTTATTAGATAAAGAGCTCCACACGGAGAGAAGAGTTTCAGTCAATTTGACTATCTATCATACGTTTAGTAACCGATTTTTAATGAGCCAAAAGTTTTGAACGTTCAAATGAACAAAATTTTTTTTTCCAATCTATAAATTATTAAAAATTATAATGTCAATGTAAAATAAAACAGTAAATTAAACTAATATTAAATTAATAATTTCTTTTTAGATATTTAAAACAATATTTTGTAATAAAATTCATATTTAAAGAAGTTACAAAAAAAATTTTGTTCATTTGAACGTTCAAAACTTTTGGTTGATGATTTTTAGTATGTTTTACCTCGCGCTTGTAAGGAACACTATTCGTTAATGTCAAATTCACTATTCGTTTAGTACATGCCAGGCCTCGGATTACACGACTTTTTCGACTTTTACCTACTTTTTTCGACTTATTTTAATAAAATGCGACTTTTTCGACTTTTTTACAAAATTTTAAAACAAAATACGTGTTTTTTAGGATACAATGCAAATCTTCTTTAAATCTTCTTTATTTCAATTATTTAACAAATTTTTAACTAAAATTCTTCACTAAATTAATTATTTTTAATAATTTTAATGAAATTCTTCACAAAATTCAATTATCTTTAACAATTTTTGAATTAAAATTTTTATGAAATTTAATAATTGTTTATAATTTTTAAAAAAAATTAGCAAATAAAATAACAAAAAAAGGTTTAATTCAAAATCAATTGAAATTAAACTGTTTGCAAAAATTTTAATTATTTTTAATAATTTTTTATAATATTCTTCGAAAATTCAATTATCTGAAAGCATTTTGCAATGAAAAAAATTTGAAATTTCAATTTTTGTGTGTAATTTCTAATAAATTCTTCAGTTATTTTCAAAAATTTCAATAGAAATTCAATTATTTTCAAAATTTTAAATTCAAAATCAACTAAAATTCAATTATTTTCCAACGTTTCAATTCAAAATCAATTAAAATTTTATTATTTTCCAATATTTCGATTGAAATTACATTATTTTCAAAAATTGCAATTCAAAATCAACTAAAATTCAATTATTTTCCAAAATTTCAATTCAAAATCAATATTGAAATTTAATTATTTTCAAAAATTTCAATTTAAAAGCTTCTAAAATTTAATTATTTCTAAAAATTTCCATCTAAAATTTTTTGAAATTTAATAATTTCAATTATAACTCTCGTGAAATCAAATTCTTTTTAACGATTTTTATAATATTCTTCGAAAATTCAAAACTATCTCAAACCATTTTTCACTTAAAAAGTTTTCAAATTATTGTATTTTTGTCTGCAATTTCTAATAAATTTTTTAGTAACAGAAATCATGAAAAAATTTTAATTAAAAATCACTTGAAATTTAATTAATTTCAAAAATCTAAATTGTAAATCTTTGAAAATTCAATTACTTTTTGAAAATGTTATCTATAAAATTATTTAATAAATTATTTTTAGTTTTGTAAAATTTAAATTATTGTCTGAAAATTAACCAAATCTTTTGAAATTCAATCATTTCTAAAAATTTCAACTTTAACCTATAATTCTAAATCCGCCATTGTGCCAGGGCTTCCGTTTCCAGTTTCAAATGCCCTTTCGGCTTCGTCCCCAAAGAATCACCCAAAATTTGTCTTACAATTAGTTCAATTGTGAAATATTGGAAATAAATTTTCTGGATAATATTTTTATAGAATTATTCTCATTACAGAATTAATAAAATGAATTTAATTAACATTAGTTATTTAAAGTAAAATATTCATTAACCAATTCAATTTTGTTAAAATAAAAAAAAAATCGACTTTTTCGACTTTTTTTGTGCCTTAAAGTCGATCCGAGGCCTGTACATCTGACAAAATTCTAGTTAATCTTAACATTTGTTTTGTCAATCAAAAAAAAAAAACGAAATTGTTTAGTGACTGTTACTCAGCGCGTAGTTACCTTCACTACACTCTTCTCTCCATATAGCATAATTTATTGGGACCCATTATTATTTTCTAAAAATCATTAGTTAGAATTTTCTGTTTATGGATCTTTATTTGTCATAATTATTTTTGAGCCGAATTTTTATTTGTTCGAATTAGCATTTTGCAGAATTTTCAAGAAACCGATTTTCTATATTACAGAATTTTTATTTGCTCGATTTTTCATTTAACATAATAGTAGGCATTTTAAAGAATTTTTATTGGGTAGAATTTCGTTGTACAGAATTTTCTTTCAGATGAATTTTCATTTGTTCGAATTATTATTTGATATAATTTCCATATAATCGATTTTTCATACTACTAGAATTTTTAATTAACCTAAAAATCATTTAATAGAATTTCTAATTGATAGAATTTTTATTTGGGGTCCGAAAAATTTTATGTATCCTTATATGGGGGTATAGGGGAAGTCAAAATCAGCCAAAATCGTCCTTACGTAATTAATGAATGGACTCTTAACAGATTTTGAAAGTCGAAGAAAAACTTGAAAGTTGTGATAAAATTTTCTGCATTCAATAATTCTAGAGTTTGATGTCATTGAAAATAGGGAAATTTAAAAAAAAAATCTCGAAAAACATATATTTCTAAAAATTTATAATTCAAAAATCTAATTTTCACAATAAAAATGTGAAGAAAATGGTCAAAAACGAGACCCATGAATTTCTCATAAAAATGAATGATTAAAATTTTAATTTTAAATAATTTTATTTGATATACCGTAAGCGTAACTAATTAAATTTTAGACAAATTTTTATTCTTTCAAACTTGTCAAAATTCTACTAATCCTGATTTATAAAGAGTGCAATATATTTTTGGCAAATATTTTATAAAATTTTCTATTATTCTATTCTATTTATTTCTATTTTCTCTTCTATTTCTATAACCTTGGAATTTAAATTTTTGAAAAATTGAGTTGCAAGGATAAAAATTTAATGTATCTAAAATAACGGATCCGATATTTTGAGTTTTTAAAAATTAACTTCGGAATCGATATCATTTCAAAAAATACAATTTTTCACTAAAATTCAAAAATATATATACTGATGTGATTCCTGAGATATATACGTGTATTTTCATTTAAGAGAAAAAAATAAATTTTTAATCTTTCAACATTGAAAGTTTCTTTTATTTAATAAATATGATGGTTGAACCTTTTTCACTATAATTAATCTCAATTTACTAATTTTTTTTTTTAAACTATAAAATTAATTTAAAACTTGTTGAATATAAATAAAATTCAATTCAAACGAATTGAGTAGCTGCCTGCAATAACTCGCCGAGCACTTGGCCGATCGCTCTAACGCCAGTCAAACGTTCAAAAACGTGAAAAAAATGAAAAATCAAAATTTTGATTTTTGAAAAGTGCAATCTTGTAGGACATAAGATGGCGCATCTTTTTTTCATTTGAGTTTTTTTTGTAGATCAAAAAATAGAGTTAATATATGCAAAACACTTAAAAATTTTATTTCACAAATTTCATTCAATTTTTAAACATAAATCATAGTATCTTTGACAAATTTCAATGAATCTTATTGAAAATTAATATACATACGTATTTAGGTCCATAGAAGACGACAACATAATCAAAAATATTAAAATCATCAATTGTTTATTTATAATTAATTGTAAATGAAGACTTGTCAATAATAATGTTTACTTACCTTTGCCGACATAAAGTGTGTGGGGAACTTCAGAGTTGAAGAAACTTCCAGTGAGACATTTGTTTATCATAATGTAAGGAAGTTTTTTGTAAAATTGAAAAACAATTTATCAACAACTTTAGAAAATATAGAACGTTTAAGAAAACATGCGCGACGCGCTAGCGAGTCACCGCGCGGAGAATTGCACACAAGAGTTAAGAAGGACGTTATGTTATGTTGTGATATATTATGTTTTGAAAATGGAGCCAACATACTATCACTGTTGATATGTAACAATACACTAATTTCTTAAAAAAATGAAGAAACAGAAAATAAAGATATACCTTAATATTAATTAATAAAAAACTTATTTGCAAACTGCACAAACAGTACATACAAGCACCAAAATATTTTAAAACTATTGATTATTTAGTAAATATTAAAAAAACAGTTGTTCAAATTTAATTTGCATTTTCATAAAATTAACACATATTTTATTTAAAAAACATTTCTAAGAATGTAGTGACAATATTTGTTTCTGTATTTTTGGTCCTCTACAACTCTTGTTTGCAATTCTCCGCGCGGAGACTCGCTAGCGCGTCGCGCATGTTTTCTTAAACGTTCTATATTTTCTAAAGTTGTTGATAAATTGTTTTTCAATTTTACAAAAAACTTCCTTACATTATGATAAACAAATGTCTCACTGGAAGTTTCTTCAACTCTGAAGTTCCCCACACACTTTATGTCGACAACGGTAAGTAAACATTATTATTGACAAGTCTTCATTTACAATTAATTATAAATAAACAATTGATGATTTTAATATTTTTGATTATGTTGTCGTCTTCTATGGACCTAAATACGTATGTATATTAATTTTCAATAAGATTCATTGAAATTTGTCAAAGATACTATGATTTATGTTTAAAAATTGAATGAAATTTGTGAAATAAAATTTTTAAGTGTTTTGCATATATTAACTCTATTTTTTGATCTACAAAAAAAACTCAAATGAAAAAAAGATGCGCCATCTTATGTCCTACAAGATTGCACTTTTCAAAAATCAAAATTTTGATTTTTCATTTTTTTCACGTTTTTGAACGTTTGACTGGCGTTAGAGCGATCGGCCAAGCGCT